TTCGATAATAAATTAAGAAGGAAACCAGCATTTGTGGCTTTTCTATATACATCTTTACCCAGTTTGCTCCCTTCCTTACTAACTAGGACATCTAAAAAGGATAATTTATTCTCTTTTTCCAAATTCATAGTGAATTTAATCACCCTATAAACTCTATTCATTAAACCAAGGAATTCATCCAAACACTCTTTGCCATGCTGCCAGATAGTAAAGTAATCATCCATATATCTAAGCAATAGTTTCGGAATCACTAAAGTCAATACTTAAGAGTTGCTGCAACAATACGTTAATAGTATAGAATTGGAGAAATGGAAAATGAATGCAGTTCTCCAACGTAAAGCTAGGCCTCCTAATGCATATGACCTGCTCAAAAGCCACAAGGAGGGGGTCCCACTTAGGATCATTGTAAATAATAAGGGTGTGATGCCTAAAACATCCCGATTCCTTTGTGGTCAATTAAAACAAATCTCAGGTTTTCGAAACTTTTCAATAATGAATTTTTGTGACTTTACAAAATTAATATACGAGCATATAATAGAACAAGAAGATTTGCTAGTAAGTATTGATGTAGTATCGATGTACACGAATGTATCGATAAATGGGGGCATACAGGCATTAGGATTAACCTTAGATTTACGCCCAGAGGTAATATCAGGAAATAAGGTAAACAAGGAGTCAATCATAAAATTGACGAACTTAATAATGAATAGTACATATTTGATTTTTAATGGTAAATTGTACGAGCAAACCGGAGGTTTGGCTATGGGATCGTATTTGTCTCCAGTTTTTTAGGGTGCAACAAGAGGAGAATACTGTACTAAGCTGGAGCTTATTTTTGCACCTAAAATTGTCGACCAACTCGTGGTTATTTCATAAACAAACCAACCCGCATCCATCAAACTGTAACAAGACCCAGGACTACTGGATCATATGCTAGTCTATTAACATAGACAAGTGACTACAAATGATCCCCTTCCTTCAGCACTTTGACCTGTTTATATGCATGTAGGTCAAGCATACGTCAGTCAACCAAATCATGGAATGTCTCATTAAGATCCCAAAGTGAGGTATAAGAAGTAAGTAGGATATCAGCCGGCCACCTTTCTCCATCTAGTGTTTTTGGTAATTTTTTCGTGAATAATGCTTTCTGGCTCTGAGGATGCCAGTCACATGACGGACGAAAGCTGAGTCCGAGTCCTTGGGGTAGTAGGACGGTGAATCGAGGTCTTCTTCGAACGATTCAACGTACAAAATTGCAAGGCAACCCTTCCCCGGTATCCGGTGTGGCCAATCTACAAATCCCTTCCACCCGCTTTTTCAAACGGAATGACAACTACGCCAGTATCAATCGCTTTATTACTTACTTTTATTAGAATGGAATTAATCTCAACAGTTTTAAACCAAGACATTTTTTCTACTTTTTTCGCATTCATATGCTAAGGTTAATGCGAAGTCATCAAGGATTCATGACCAAAGGAAAGGTAAAGCTGAAATCGCTTAAACCCAGTTGATGTAAATAGAAAAAGGAAAGAACGTACATTTTAGTCCATTCTACAACCTCTCTCTTTAAGCCTAACATCCCCTACATCTGCCATGCTTCCAAATCTATGAGTTTCTACATTCTCTCCTAACTTGAGTTTAGCAGCAAGCTCAATGTAAGCTCAAGATATTCCACCTCCACCATCACGCATCAAATTGAGTGGTGGTCTGTGTTTAAAGACACCTGAATCCAGATCCCCAAGCTATGCTCAGCTTTGTCTTCATCGTCTTGTATAGTCTATCCTACCGGAAGAGAGCATATTTTGTCGAACTTTTGATCAAAGATGGTTGACGATACAAGTCATTACAAGTCATCACCAAGCATATGCTTATGCCTCAAAAACTCGTTGCGAGCCACCACCTCGCCTTTCTACCAAAATACGTAATAATATTTTTGTACAAATTTCAAGCTTTGCATCTTTTTGCATTATCTAAAGGCATCCGAGACTATACATTTTACATAGCCCGCAATAAATGCTGGCAATAAACCACCTATTTTGGGTGTAAATAAACGAAAGTCCGTGCAACTTAGTTCTTAAATATCATGCATTGATAGTTCCGACAGTTGAGAAAGTCTCAACAACTCCTCGGCATCCCCAAAAAACAGTGTCGGACAAACGGCACAATAGATGCGAGCGCCTCTTCCTGAACTTATCTTTCGTCCTACGACGGATTCGGATGCTTAAGGTGAGCAGCTATTTGATAGATGTAACTTACGCAGAAAACCCAAAATTTGCGCTTGGACTTAAACACCATGCACATGTGACTCCCTTCTGGATGCTGAAAGTCGACATCAACGCGATAAGTCGGACTAGCTTATGTGTTGCCTTCATGTACCTGGAACCTGTGGGGCGCTCTTTCTTCCAGTCCAGATTAAGATTTTGGTAGCACAAAATTCCTCCAAAGTAGCATTCGAGACTATGTCCAGTGAATTGGAAGACCTTTCAAATAACGTGTAACTTTTTAAAACTTAAAGTGTTGGATGAACTCAATACTAATCTGATTGCTTCAAGAATGTGAGGAAAGATACATTCATGTTCCATTTTCCCAACTGCAAGAGGTAAAGGCATAGCGAGCCAACCAACAGAATTCCTTTTTCTCGTTTATAAGTGGGGTTTCGCAACTGCCAGTAAAGTAGTTAGGTGAGATATATTCCCCGTAGTTCGTTTAATGAGATGAAGGACTGGTAGTTGAACTTTCCCACAATTGTATGAGTAGATCTTATATTCATACTGAATTTCACATATCATTGATTCCCAAAAGGTATTTTCATCCAGAAAGGACTGCAGTTTTGACCTCGCCTAGGCCTCATCAGCATTACCAGCGAGACTCGAACCCGGATTATGATGATGCAGTGTGCATTCTCAGAACGTTAGCTACTCCGCCACATTTCCAGAAGGGCGTTTGATTCAAAAGAGATATATTAATTTCAAAGAAGGCAAAGATTTTCCCATTTGAC